AAAAAGAAGAAAAAAGAAAAAAGAAATAAAAAAAGAAAACCAATAATGAAAAAATATAAAAAGAAAATATATATATACATATATATATTTATTAGATAAACTAGTTAAAAATGTTAAAAAAGAAAAGGGTAAAAGTTTAAAAAATTTAGCAGAAGAAGAGAAAAAAAATTGAAAAAGAAAAAAAAATTAAATTAACTGCAAGGCTAAAGAATCATGGGGAGAAAGCCATGAGTTCTGTGCTTTGCTTTTTCCTCCTCTGGAATTCCGCTGTTCTCCTTGGTATTGAAACTGCACTCCTTGGTAGGTGAACTTGGTCCTGGCTGGGTTTCTTGCTGATCTTCTGGGGGAGGGGCCTGTTGTAGTGATTCTCAAGTGTCTTTGCCCCAGGCGGAGTTGCACCGCCCTTACCAGGGGCCGGGCTGAGTAATCCGCTCAGGTTTGCGGGAGCTTTTGTTCCCTGAGCACTTTCCGTAGAGTTCCGGAGGACAGGAATGAAGATGGCAGCCGCCCATTCTCCAGCCCGCAGGAGCCGAAAGCCTGGGGCCCCACTCCTCAGTGCGCCCTCAGAGTACAGCGCCCAGTTGCTCCAGTCACCCTGGCCTCTGGCCGCGCTCCAAGCTGACCGAGCCTGCAACCGGTTCAAGGTAAACCCGAGCCTAGAGCTCACTCCTCGGCTCTGTCTCTGTAGCCGGCTTCCCCGCTCTAATACCTGTAAGCTTGCGACACTCATGACACCCCCGATCCTTCTGTGACCCTGCGGGACCTGAGGCCACGCTGACCCCGCGTGGGCTTCACCCCGGTTAAGCCTCTGGAGCGATGTCCCTCAGCGGAACAGACTTTTTAAAGTCCTGATTTTGTGCTCCGTTGCTCCGCCGCTTGCCAGGAGCCGGCCCCTCCCCATGGGGTCTATCTTCCCGTCGCTTTGGATTCACTTCTCCGCCAGTCCTACCTTTCAGAAAGTGGTTGATTTTCTGTTTCTAGAATTGCTGTTCTTCTTCTCTTCGGTCTCCCGTTGGATTTGTAGGTGTTTGCAATCTTTAGATAAGCTATCTAGCTGATCTCCCGCTACCTGAAGTAGTCTCAGCCTGCTACTTCTCCGCCATCTTTACTCCTTCTACACTTACCTGTACTTCTGATTCAATGGTTATAAGACAGAATTTCCCATGATTCCTTCCTTGGGTTTGACTGATTTGCTAGAGCAGCTCACAGAACTCAGGAAACCCATTTATTCACTAGATTACCTATCTGTTTAAAAGGATACACCTCAACAATTAGTCAAATGAAGAGATGTATAGAGCAAGGTGTATGGGAAAACACTGGGACTTCTGGGCTCCTTCCAGGAGTGGCAGTCTCCCTGCATCTCAAGGTGCTCACCAACTTGGAAGTTCTTGGAACCCTGTCCCTTGGAGTTTTTAATGGGGGCTTCATTACATAAGCATGGTTAATTAAATCACTGGCCATTGGTGACTGATTTAACCTCTAGCCCTTCCCCCCTCATTGGAGGTCAGGGGAATGGGGCTAAAACTTCGAACCTTCTAATTATATGGTTTGTTCCTCTGTTGACAACCCCCATCCTTAGGTGATCTAGAGGCATTACAAAAGTCACCTCATTAACATAACAAAAGACATCTTTATTGCTCTCATCACTTAAGAAATTCCAAAGGTTTTAGGAGCTTTGTGTCAGAAATGGAAGGAAGACCAAATATAATTCTTACTATCAATCACAACATCCCAGGCAACCAGCTTGGTAAGAACTGATTGAAGCAATGGATGCTAAAACTGTGTTAGAAAGTTAGACATCACCAAGACATAGAAACAGTCCCAACTGAACAAAGTTAGCATCACTAGCATCAGTGCCTTGCAGGCTGAGACCACCGGGAACACACCTGTATGGAACAAGCTGGGATTATGAATGGTGGTGGTAAGGAAGAATCCACCCCATGGAAAACCATGAGGCAGTCCAGTGAGAGAGTGTTAGGTAACTCTGGAGAGGGGTAAAGTGAGCGGTTCTGGATCGGAAGCTATCAGGAATTGTGGGCAACCCTATCACTGGCTATCTCCGGAAATCTTATGCAGAAGGAAGAAAGAGTGGGCTGAAGAGAGAGCGGCAATTGGCAAGGCAGCCACAGGCATACATATTTTAGCCAGGAGAAAGGGAGGATTGGCCATTTGTGCAATGATGACAGTGTTCATTGTTTTGTCTGCATTCAGACATGATAAGGGAGGGGTCTTGTCACAAGGTCCCAGAGTGGCCTTGACGAATATTGATGTTCTGTGAAACAGTTTATTTCAACACAAGAACGCCAAGGCCGAGCTCCGAGTGCCAGTATCTTTCCTAGCAACCCCAAGGCCTGGCCGGTGGCATTCTCAGATGCCAGGTGTCAGGGACTGCTTTTCCTCTTTCCCGATAGTAACCCATTAACCAGAATTGACTAAATTAACATCATGTGCCTCCTGATATGAAAAGGAAAACAACAGTATTCTTGTGGCATTTCTGCCAAAAATGCATACCCTAATCAAGAGAAATATCAGACACATATCGGTTGATATGCTATAAAAGAGTGGGTCTGCATTCCTCAAAAATGTCAATGTTGTGAAAGAAAGAGATGGAAGAATTGTCCTAGATTAAAGATGAGCCAACTGTAACAAAGTACCGCAATCAATGAATTGGAATTTTCTTTCACAATAGCAGACATTACTAGGGTAATTGGCAAATCCTAAATAAATTTGTAGTTTAGATCACTGTAGTGATGTTACTTTTCTGATTTTGATAATGATACCATGATATTTAAGAGAATGTCTACTTTTAGGAAGGACATTGAAGAATTTAGGGATAAAGGGGAATCACATCTACAACTTACTCTCAAATAGTTCAGAAAAAAACATATATATGTGTGTGTGTGTGTGTGTGTGTACAGAGAGAGAAAGGATAAAGCAAAATTTGGAAAATCTGGGTGGAGAATACATGAAAATTCTTTACATAATTTTTGCAACTATTTGTAATTATATCAGAAGTTGAAAGAAAAAATACCATTCTCTTCCCTTTTACAAGTGCTTTTCTTTTTTGAGTAAAGGTTATTTTGCATGAGGGTGAATTCAGCCTTGGTGTTTCACTCACTACATTTTTTTTTTTTTTTTTTAAGAGAGAGGGAGCATGAGCAGGGAGGGACAGAGAGTATATTAAGCATGTTCCACACAGAGCCTGACACAGGCCTTGATCTCACAACCCTGAGATCATGACCTGAGCCTTAATCAGGAGTCAGCAGCACCAACTGAGCCATTCAGGCATCTCTCACTCAGGGCATTCTTGAGTAAAAGATCTATTTATATGTGTATTTACATCTAAATCTCCTTTCTTAATTTTTTAATGTCTATAATAAAGCTGGCATGAGGTTTTCTTGGGAGGAAACCACTTCCTTTAGCAGCCCTTTTGTAGCAAAATTTATTATAGTTCATCTTTTCTTAATTCTATAGATATGGATTGTTAGAAACATATGTATTGAACTTTGTGTTGAAAATTCTCTTGGTGGTGGAAGCACCACCTGACTGAGGAGCAATCCACAGGTGAGCTCCTAAACCCTGAATGATCTCGCTGTTGTGTCATTTCCATGTGTTGTTGACATTAGCCCATATCAACAACATTCTATGAAATATAACATATGCACTAATACTATAGAATTTCCCCTTCAGAATGAGGAAGAACATAGGAGGGAAGGCTCTTTGGAGAACTTGATGCAACAGTTATCTTCATTATGAATGTTGCTTAGAAAACTTGCATCTCAAGATTTAAGAAAACAGTTCATATATGATTTCATCTTGAAGTAAAGAGTAGTTGGTATTCTGTAGACTAAGGAAAGCCATTATTTGAGGCAAAGAAAGTTTGTATATATTATCGTTGTCTAGAACCAACTGAAGCCATCCACGTACTATGGAACTGGGTTGAAGTATGCCAGCGTCATCCTAAGAAGGAAGTCAAATCAGTAACTAGTTCAGCCCAGTGTATCACTTAGTCTTAAAATTTGCTTATTACTTTGAAACACTGCTATGTTTAGATCTTCTTAATGATCATTGATAACTAGTGGCAGCTATGTAATTTTTAATAAAAGTGTTGTTACAAAATCTCGTGTAGTGGGAGTTTCTTGTAAGTTCTCACGTATATATGTACGAGTCACCTTACCAGGAGAACTCCAGTGTCAACCTCACTGAGCCCCATTAACTTTTGTCAATGACCTGGGGTTTGGCAGAATTGCAAAGAAGAACAGCTTCAAACAAGGTGGTTCTCAAGGTGTGAGGGCCACTTACCTGAAAATCACCTGGGGTGCTCGTTAGAATGAAGCCTCCCTCCACCTCAGACCTGTTCAGTTGGAGGCTCTTGAAAGGAGGCTCCAGGAAGTGATGCTGAGGTATCTCACATGGGAAAAACATTCTCAGTAAAACTTGCCTGAAAGGAAATTTGTAACAGTAAGTGTACTTTATACTCGTTTACATCTTTCATATTTCTTACCACATCGAATACTTAGTATCTCAAACATGAGAAACCATTGAAATGATTTTATTTGATCTAAATTTTAGGAGGCTAGAAGTACATAAATTACGCTAAATGCAGCTTCTCTGTAGCTCTGCTCTTTTTCAGTCCATCACTTGAATTATCTGAGGCTCATGAAGTCATTCTCAAGCTTCTGTTACTGGTTAAAGGAAAGAAGTGGAAAGTTGCTAAAAACAACTCACCTCTTCAGCTGTGCTTTAGTCTAAGCCAGTAACCTATGGGATGAGGAAAAGCAGAAGGAAAATATATCAGAAATTAAACTCACTTTCTTCCTTCCATAAACCTGTTCTTATTCTTCCCTTCCTCCTCCTCTTACTCTTGGTCCAGTTGCTCCAGTAAGGAACTTGAGAGTCATGCCTGGACCCACCTTACTCCTCTTACCACTCCTACCACCCCCACTGCAACCAGGTTACCAGTCTTGGCAGTTTGTCTCCAGAAGTATCTTTCATCTTTTTAACATGCCCCTCCATCTCATCCCCCTCCCCGCATCTTACTCTAGCTCTCTTCCCTGGACCACAACATGGCCATCCAACTGGTCTCTGCCTCCAGTTTCTCTCCCTTCTCCCTTCAATCCTTTCTCCATCCTGCCTTCAGAATTGCCTTGGAGCAAATCATTCCTCTTCTTGTAAGCCTGCACTGGTTCTCTGCTGCCTCTGCAGTGAAGCCTGAAGTCCCAGCAAGGCATGGGAGGCCTTTGCAACCTGGACCCCACAAACTGCCAGTGGGAGTTCTAACCTCTCTGAGAGAAGCGTACACCTTATATTCTAGTAGAACTTGCAAAATACACCAAAGGCTTTTTAAAAAATCTTGCCTTTATTCATGCTGTGCCTTTGCCTGGCCTCTTGGCACCAACCAGGTCCACCTGTGTACCTGGCAAACTCTGACTCCTTATGGTTCAACTTAGGTGCTTTTCCTTCTCTCACTGTTCTTGCCCCAATTAAAAATGATCACTCCCTCAGAAGTGTCCCAGCACCGTTAGTGCCTGTGACTGTTCAGTGTGCCACACTGGACTATGGAAGTTTTATTCAGGTCTATCTGTTCCCTACCTAATGGCTCTGTGTTTCATTAGGAAGGGGACTAAATCTCATTTATTGTGGTATTTCTGGGTGCCCACACAGAACTTGAGACTCACCTGGAGAACAACATCATTTGTTGAAGTGGATTAGAGATTAGAATTCTTCCATCCCCATTTCTAGAATTTTCTACTACCCTATGGATCTTTGCTGCCTCTAGCAAATTTTCCTGCATGCTATGGGCAATCAATAGATTGTTGAATGTGTTCCAGAAAGAAAACTCATTTCTTGAGTTCTTACTAAGTCTTAAAGGAACATATACATATTAATTTTTTAATCCTTACAACAACCTTATGAAGTATCCATCATTTTTATTAGCATTCTCATTTGAAAGTGGAGATAACTCAGACCAGAGTTGTTAAACCACTTGCCCAAGGTCACATAGCTATGAATAAAAGAGCTAGGATTTAAACCCGGGCAGTCTGGCTACAGAGTAGACATGCTTGAACATTCAGCCCATTTTCATTCTCATTACATGAGAACTATGGACAGTCAACAAATTTGCCTAGCCCTTTCTTTTGACCCATTGGTCTGATCCAGGCCACCCTGGGTTCTTAATTATTTGGGAGAAACAAATATAGGCTTTTTCAGAAATAGGCAAATATTATAAGTATGTACACTTCATCTAATCCATTTGGCTATAAAAGCATGGAAACATTTTATTGATATGTACAATTTTTGGATATATAATCTGTAATTTAGGGGCACCTGGGTGGCTCAGTGGGTTAAAGCCTCTGCCTTTGGCTCGGGTTGTGATTCCAGGGTCCTGGGATCGAGCCCCGAGTCAGGCTCTCTGCTCAGCGGGGAGCCTGCTTCCTCCTCTCTCTCTCTGCCTGCCTCTCTGCCTACTTGTAACCTCTGTCTGTCAAATAAATAAACAAATAAATAAATCTTAAAGTTAGTTAAACATAACATAAATTATGTTAATATTTCATTATTTTATGACATTTGACAATTTTATAAATTTGACGTTTGGCTAATGAAAAAATACTAAAATGTATTACTTTCATCTTTCTCAAAAAGGTATGGATGGAATTTTAGGGTCAAAAGGACTTTGAAGTTCACTCAGAATGATGACTCTATATCCAACGTAATACAATTTTAAAAACAGGAATAATCTTGAAATATTAACCAATAAGATTTAAGGTTTCTCAGCTAATTCAAATAAATGTAACTTTATAATAAAATTGTAAGTTTTAGATGAAATTTAAGTGGGAGTTCTATTTAATGCCCACTGTGAACTCAGAACTCTTACGAATACTTAGTTTAAATCAAGAATGATGCATTTCTAGATAATATTGTTAAAATGAGGTTGTTTGAAGTCACATTTTTGGTCAATAATCTTGGCAATACACTTTTTTTCTTTTTACAATATCAATAATTACTCTTTCTTACTGATTCTTCCTGAGTTTGGCATCCTGAAAAAAGAAAAAAATTGATAGCTATTCTACATTGAAAGATTAAATAAGTAGAGAAAAATCTTGAAGATTTCTTCTATTTAATCTATAAAGTGAAATACTGGCTGAATAATAATAATTACTATTTTTATTATTATTATTATTTTTGAAGTAGATTCCAACTCACAACCTTGAGATCAAGACCTGAGCTGAGATCAAGAGTTAGAGCCAACCAGACATCCCAAATGCTTGGTTAAATTGTAATTGTCATTTTTTTTTTGAAAGACAAAAACCAGAAATTATTATTTGAAAAGCAAATGGTACAGCCATAAAAGGCATACAGTAGTCCCCCTTATCTCCTGGAGATCGTTTCAAGATGTCCAGTGGATGCCTGAAACCACAGATACTATCAAACCCTACATATATTACATTTTTTTTTCCTATACATACATACCTATGATAAAGTTTAATTTATAGAATTAAATGCAGTATGAGATTAACAATGACTAATGATAAAACAATTATAACAATAAACTGTAACAAAAGTTACGTGAATGTGTTTTCTCTCAAAATATCATACTGTACAATATTGTATCCACCCTTCTTCTTCCTCCTCTTATGATGATGTGAGAGAATAAAAAGCCTACCAGAGGAGATGCAGTGAGGTAGAAGACATAGACATCGTGACGTAGTGTTAGTCTACTAATAACCTTCTGAGCGAGCGTATGTCAGGAGGAGGATCATCTGCTTCCAGACTGTGGTTAACAGTGAATAACTGAAACCAAATGAAGCAAAACTCAGATGCGGGGTGGGCACTGTATGAGAAAATCTGGGTCCTCTCATCAAAAGTAAAAACAAGGGCTGAAAGAGCCATCTTTTGAGGAAACAGAGTTTAGATTGTCATCTTATATTTGACTTGGCAGTGAGGCATGCAGGATGACTATTTCTAGCTATTGCTAGATTGAATTCTAGAAAGTTCAGAACATGAAGAGTCAATGAGAATTATCAGCAGGGAAGGTACTGGATGCTGTCACCACTTTTGTACATGAGTTGACAGGACATGAGTTGAACCAATTTACTTAGAATCACAAAGTAGGTTGTGACAATGTTTTGGGTGATATCAGACTGAATGTAGGAAATTTACTAATGATGTCAAGGATGTCGAAGTTTGGCTAAATTTTGGGCTTGGCATCAACATCATTCTATAATGGGTGCCCTATTGGTATAGCCTGCTGACTGGCATGGCATCCTGAGGTTCACAGCATGGCTGGTTTGGTTACTTACCAAATCATCTCACAGGCCACTCCCATGCCAACTGCAGGCCTCCATTCCCAGGTTCCAGAATGCATTTAAGATTCTGATTTTCTGGATGCCATCTGATCCATAAAGGTCAGAGCCAGTGGGGATGATGCCCTTCAAGGATACCACTGAAAAATATCAGGAACCCTCCCTTCGAGATTAGCACCTTCCAGAATTAAATAATAGAGATTAAAAGAAAAACAGGAAAAGAGAAAGTGTAGAAATGTAAGTGTTAGAACATGAAATAGTTATGACCAAAGGGCAAATATCCTGGTTTATTCTTTTTGAAAGTAAAACGAATTGAACATTAAAATTACAGTGATTTCTGATTTAAACTTCTATTGGATGAAAACAATTACACAGGTTTTTAATTCATCTTTTTAAGAAAGAGCTACTGAATTTATTTTCTGTGTTAATTCTGTGTGATCCAAGTTCAGTTCCACTCATATGCTTTTTTTCTTTTTTTAAAGTAATCTCTGCACCCAACATGGGGCTTGAACTCAGAACCCAGAGATCAAGAGTCACATGCTCTACTGACTGAGCCAGCCACGCACCCTCCACTCATGTGCTTTCCAGGTAAAGAATGGGTATAAATAAAATGCAAGTAATCCAACTTAATGGGAAGTCACTGTAGAGGGCAACCAGGATAAAAATCAGTGAACTTAATTCAAACATGAAGGTTTTTGCCTACAGAGAACACAAATAGCCTGGTTCTTAAAGAGATAGCTGTCCACTTGGACGTCTTCCAGTTAAGAAGTTTGTGACAGTTTCAAAATCAAATTTCCCTTTTTTTTAATAGTTGTTTGAGCTGTTTAGGTATGAGTCAGCTTTAGCTGAACCACACTGAATTTTGTTTTAGTGTGAGCTAAGAGTCAGTGTAATTACAAAATACCAGAAGGATATGCTTACTTCCTTCCAAATGCAGTTTAGAAATCAAAGAGGTATCATTCTTTTCAAGAACATACCAATAATACATATGGCTACAAAATATTGGTGAAGTGGTGTATAGTTTCTATACGATGAAACATACATAATCAAAGGAGCCCGTGATTATCAACACCAACTGCTACCAAACTTCCGCTCTGTCTCTCCTGCCCTTTTTGTGGAATGACTACTTCACTGGAGTATGAGTGATTTCTCTCACTTTTTTTTTTTTTTAATTCAATGAGGCATTGCATTGTTTAAAGCAGTTATTGTGAATCCTACTTAGATTTTCTAAGTACTGGACAGTGATTGATCTTCTTTTTCTGGTGATTACTCCCTGTGAAAATTCACCAAGAACAATGATGAAGACTCTCTAAAGGGCCTGGGTCATCGGATTTTCCTAAGCCCCAGGGCCATTCACACTTGGAGGGTTTAGAGAGCATCTCATTCTAACCTGGCTCAAGACACTTTACACATGAGGCCTTCTAGGCCCCAGGAGTCTCAGATCTCACACACCATCAGATAGGAGCAGCTAAAGCTAATCCTGATATTAAGGAAGTTTGGCCTTCAGTAACCTGTCATTATATCCTTAGAATGTCTATGCATTTACAAAGGATTTTTGAAATATAATGAATAACATGGCATTTATCACAGTTCCCAGTACTTAGCATTACTGGTGATCGCCAATACTGTTCTCTTTGGGTGATAACAATATCTCATTCCTCTGTATATTTTATATATTGAATATAGTGGTGGTATATTTATTTGCCTTTCAAATATGCAACCAAAGACTATTGTTACATTTGCTTTTGTTAACAAATCTGGGGCACCAAATGTTCATATTTACTATTTACATATACATATTTACACTACATTACATATTACATATTTACATATTTACTATTGCCTTACCATGACAAGTTAAAATTGGAAGGAAGCAAGAGGAAGTTACTAAGAAGTCACATAGTTTGCCAGTTATCGTATTTTGAAATGAAATGTGTTTTACATGTCGTGGGGCATCTTGGAATTTTTAGTCATTCCTTGGTATTATGTCATTTGATCATTTCAAACATGGACATCTGGGGGTTTTGTATGTCTTGAGAGTCATCTTCAAAGAAAAGACTGGCCTTTATCTCTGGTCTTATAAATTATAAATGGCTTCATTGGTGGTGAGCAGCTGGAGGAGCAGAGCTCTGTGGAAGCTTCCGGATCTCCCCAGTGTGATTCTCCCTAGGCCCACTGTCTACTGACTGTCCCTCTGTGGTTGCACTCAACTCCAGAACAGTTATGTGCCTACTTTCTGCTCACCCTCGTGGCTCCAGGCGGAGTCATCAGGAGGGGTTTCTGAGCAAAAGCATATCCTTCATCAACACTGCGTTCTTGGATAGCTGTGCTGTTTCAGCGAAGAGGAAAAGCACCCCTGCCTTACTTTGATTCTCTGAAGAATAATACAAATCATATGATAGACAACATGTTATGTTATGAATGTTTGTATAGTGATACGGTGTTTAATCCTCCAAGCATCCCTTTGAAATATTATTTTAGAAAGATGACATTGAGGCTCAGAGATGACAAGTGACTTGTCTGAATTCATTTAGCTGTAAATGGCACTATGAGGCCTAAACTTGGGATTTTTGCCTCCTTCCTCCATGTCACAGCTGCCTCAACCTGTTATTCATTTATATGAAGATGTACTTACTTGAGTCCTGATTCTTGATATTAAATACACATTCTTGGTTTTTTGCTCAATCTTCTTATTTTATGGTTAGCAAAGCAAAAAACAAGTAAACAACAACGACAACAACAACAAAAATCCCCTAAATCCTGTCTGGCTGGAACTGCAGCCTTTAATCTTTCTAAAGACAATAGGCAGGTCTGAGGCCCTCATACTAAGGTGCTGGCCAACCAGGAAGGAAGCTGGGGGAAGGAAGTCTTCCTCCCAGGAGGTAATTGATTACTAACACTCTAGTTAGGTAGCACTGAGTGTGGAATCTCCATGAAAGGGAATCTGTTCTTTTCCCCCTGCTTCCAGAGGAAAGTGCACAAAGCCTTTATTCTCCCCACTCCCTTAGAATTAACCAGTTAGGGCCTCTGTGTCCATGGGGCCAGACCTGAGCATTTGTAAGTAAAATGAAGGCAGAAGGATAGCTCAGAAGAAAAACAAATGGTAGGATTATCATTATTTATGTGTCCCCAAATTTAATAATCTTAAAAATCTAAGAACAACAACAAAATCATGCTAAAGATGGGCAATAATTTTGATGCATGAAGTTTAGAAAACCAAATTCATCAGGCTTAGGGACCAGGGGAAAGAAGGTGCAAGAGGTGAGAAGTCTGGGATAAACTAGGTTCTGCTTCTGAGCCCATGCCCCTGAACAAGACCCCGAACACCTATGTCTAAGGAGGGTGTGGAACATGGCCACTCAAGTGCTGGGGCCTTCCTGGTGAGGGAAGACTATTAATCAGAATCTTCATCAGACCTTCCTCACCACTACAGGAAAACAACTGATGCTAAAAATTAAACCCCCATGGCACTAGAGAAGCAGGGAAATGAAGTCCAAATTAAAAAGAAAAGGCATGGGATCTAAGTTTAGGGTTATGCTTGACTTTCCAAGGCAAGCATAAGCACCAGCCACATAGCAGGTACTTAATAAATGAATGGATGACAGGTGGACAAACTGATGGAAGGTCAGTCCTTCCCCAGTGGTGATGGACGTGGGGGCAAAGAAACCTGTAGATGAGTCCTGATCCACACCAACACAGTGATGGAGGCAAAATTATAAGCCTCAGTTTCTTCCTGTGTAAAATGAAGATGATAATTCACAGGGTAATGAGGATGAAGTGAGAAAAAGCTTACTTCGGGGCCCAGCACATAGGAAGCACAGAATTTTGTGATCATATTCTCTACTCTAAAGACTTCTCTGAGGAACAAGGAGGCTCCAGATGCAAGAAGTTTGCAGGCAGGAAATCTGTTAGCCTTCCACATTTCCACTGGACTCTGCACCTTGTCTCTGAGAGTGGGACCTCTTTCTCCTGGGACCCATGATGGGCTCCCAGGGACCCAAGGGTACAAAGATGAAGCGCACAAGTTAGGTGGGCTTTATGAGGCCCGATTTCAACCTCCTTTGCACAGAAACCCAGCACAGTCTTGGCTTGTACCGCTGGGAGAAATGGACCCAGACTTGAAAACTACAGATGGGGTTGTTCTCACTATCTTCTGGGAGGATAGGGAAGTGGTAACTGAGGTCAGAGTTCGTGAAACTTTCAGTGAAGTCTGTGTGTTGACCTGGAAAGCCTCAGCTCTTTTAGAATTCCCAGGCCAGACCTGGTGACCCATTCGAATGCATTCAAGGCATTTGCACATGGAGACTTGTTGCAAAAATAGCTGACTTTCATACAATCCGGAAAACAAGAGATCTTTCTAGCAACCCATGGGGATGCTCCTTGTTCTAAGTGAATGATTTCTGGTTTAAGGAAGGAGAAAATTTTTTTTAAAGGATTTATTTATTTATTTTAGAGAGACAGAGAAAGTGCTGGGGTGGGGAGGGGCAGAGAAAGAGCCTTAAGCAGATCCCACACTGGGGTTGGATCTCAGGACCCAGAGATTGCAACCTCAGCAGAAACCAAGAGTCCCATGCCTAACAGACTGCGCCACTCAGGCACCCCCAAGGAGAAATTTCGAACATCAGATTTTTCGTGGGCCTTTCCTTCTAACAGCATTTTCCCTTCCCAGTTTAGCTAATATTGATGCAGTCTATTAGTGGGAGTGTGACTATTAGCATATAAACAAATTTTTGAAGTGTGCTTCTCAGGGAGCAATCAGAAACTAACTGCTCAGCCACAAAAAATACATACAAGTCTAAGAACGTTGAGAGTTGCCTTTTGTAAAGTAGGGTTACCATGGGGAGGGCAAATCAGTTGAGCCAGCAAGAGCTCATTGGAGGACGCTGCATTTTTTCAGTTGAGAATTTGCCTAATCTTCCCTAACCACTCCCCGATTAAGAGGTCTCAGAAGACTTCAAAAACACGGCAAATGGAAATGTTCTGCAGCCTCCTTTGGGTTACCCAGGGCCGAATTTCCTCAGGCGGGGCAGGGGAAACGCAAATCAGCTTGGCACTGCGTATCTTTAACAAAACCCCTTGTGGGGGATGAGGCTATTGAAGGTCTCGAGGTGATTTCTCCCTAATATTTTTTGCTCTGAAAAAGTTCTCTAGTTCTCCGTACTTTTGTCTGCGCAAATTTCCCAGGTGGAGTCAGTCGTGGGCGTTAATAAGCCGCATTAGTGACCACCAGAGACGGAAATCGCTAATTACTAAGTCCCCTTTGATCTCCCCCAGCCGTTTGGCTCCTGACACTGGAGGTTCCGTACGCTTTCTTAGAACTGTACCAGACTAGAGTGTTCAGTCGTGCGATCTGCAGTTTAACGTGTGCGCCGAGATCTGGATCAGATTTTTAAGAATTTCCACAGACTCCCCGGATTTTAAAACCCAGCGGCTGAGCTGGTGTGCGGCTGGAAGCTAACAAACGCCCACGAGCGCGGGTGTTTGATTAATTTTGGCCGCTGCGTACTTCTGCGCTTTAAATTTTGGGGGGCAGACTGGGGAAATAAACGATTTAAACTTTCAGTGCACTGCCTGTCTCCCCTTCTCCATCGTCTGCTTTCGATTCGGTTGTGGGAAATGGAGTTTTCTTCTCTTTGCTGGAACTCTAATGTGATTCGGGATCATTTGTAAAATGAACAAAAAAGTCACCGGCAAACGGGACGACTGGGGCAGAACGCTGATGGCAGACCCGGGGTGGAAGCAAAGGCCGGGCCTCCGAGGATAATTGGGAGACGGCCTCCTCCCCGTCTAGTCTCCATGGTCCCCTTCATCTTCCAGGTAAGATGAATGGCCCTTCATCCATCATCCACAGCCAGCCTCCTCCCCCAGGCGAGCGGAGAATCTGCTTTCAGAAAAAACCTATTAGCCCCGAATTGGGCAGCTTTGTGGAGCCAACCGAGGCTCTCTATTGTGACCTTTGTCTGCGGAATTTAAGCATTTACATAATGCACTAGCACCGAACTTCGAGCAGGGTTGGGACACCGCGTGCGGAGCCTGGCGCGGACCTCGCGTCTACAGCTCCCTCATCCGGCTGCTCCAGGGGACCATCCTCGCGGTTGCGCCTGGGTCACGCTGCAGGCGCTCTGGCAAGGAAAGCAGTGCCACATCCATACTTTGCCCACTCCGGGCGGCTGCGCTTTGAAAGCGGCAACGTCTTGTTGGGTGAAACCACGCAGGGTCCATCTGACCCTGAAGTCGGAGGAATAAACTTGATATTAATCTGGCTTTCCAGGCGGTCGTTGGGGGCTTCGCGGTTTTTCTGCTGACGGTTGAGAGCCGCGCGCTCAACGGTCACTGGTGCGTCCGAGCACAGAGGCGCCTTGGGTTCCAATCGCCAGAGCGCGGGACCTGGACTCGCGGGTCTCTAGGCGACCCGCGCGCCAGCTGAGCGCAAAAAGGATTCGCGGCATGTAAAAGGGAGGACGAAGACCCGCGGCGCGTGGGACTAGGTCTCCGGGGAATTTAGGAAGGAATCCGCAGGCTTTGGAGAGGCGCACGCTTCGCAGAGGAAATGCAAACACTTTAGGCAGCCGAGGTCTCTGGGTATCCAGCTCTTTAGAGGAAGGTGGTTCGATTCAGAAATCTCTCCAGAGGGGACTTTTCCACCGAAAACTTTCTCGAAGTGCCCAGAATACGCCCAATCCAGGCAGGTGCAGAAACTTTTGCCCTGCAGTGCCTCCGCCACTGCTCTAAGCGGCCGCTTAGAGGATGCAAGAGGTTGGGTCGCGAGGGCTAAGGGGGAACCTGCATCTGGAATCGGGTCTCCAGGAAGAACACCGCACCCAGGGGGCCCGCCAGCCCCCTTCCAAAGAACCCGCGCGCCCGTCGCAGCGAGCTGCGCTGGTAGCCTGGGCCCAATCAGCGCTGTCTTAGGGTCTGTGACGGCGTTCGGCCCCGCCCCCTTGACTGGGATAAAAGGCCTCAGAGAGGGCTTCAGCCCAGAGCTCCGCGCGCGGCCCTGCGCCCCGGCACCGCCCCCAGGTGGGTTTCGTGGATTGCTGCTCTCAGCGCCGGTCCCACTGTCCCCGCGGTCGGCCGCGATCAGATCCTCATTCTTCTCAGTCCCCAGGGCAGGGCGGCCAAGCCAGTCTCCAGGATTCTCTCCTTTCCTTTTCGCTCCCCCTTAAAGGCAGCTGCATTCCTCCGCGCACTGGGCCGCCCGTCTGCAGGTGAGCAGCAGCGCAGCGCCCCAGTCCGGCGACCTCACTTACCCCGGCCGGTGCGCTACCGGCTGCGGTACCCCCCCGCCCCAACGCTGCCTTTCCCCTGCAGGATGAAGAACCCGATGCTGGAGGCGCTGTCCCAATTGCTGGAGAAGCTGCTCCTCATCTCCAACTTTAAGCTCTTCAGTTCGGGCACCCCGGCCGAAGACAAGGCGAGGAATAATTTCTATGAGATCAGCTCTTTCCTCCGCGGCGACGTGCTGGAAGTGCCCCGGACCCACCTGACCCACTACGGCATCTACCTGGGCGACAACCGTGTTGCCCACATGATGCCCGACATCCTGTTGGCCCTGACCAACGATAAGGGGCTCACGCAGAAAGTGGTCTCCAATAAGCGTCTAATCCTGGGCGTCATTGGCAGAGTAGCCAGCATCCGCGTGGACACAGTGGAGGACTTCGCCTACGGAGCCGACATCCTGGTCAATCACCTGGACAAGTCCCTCAAGAAGAAGGCGCTGCTCAACGAAGAGGTGGCGCAGAGGGCCGAGAAGCTGCTGGGCATGACTCCCTACAGCCTACTTTGGAACAACTGTGAGCACTTCGTAACTTACTGCAGATTTGGCACCCCGATCAGCCCCCAGGCGGACAAGGTACACGTGTGACTCGCCCGTGGGTTCGGTGGGGACCCCTTTCCCATCTCTAACTTTTTTCTATGCTCTGGGATCAAGGATTGAGTTCTAGGATGAGTAACGGTCTCTGGTGTTCCTGAAGGAGGCCAAGTAAATAAATAGCGTTGTCCCTTGCAAGGTAACCTCAAAATGCGCGGTTAAAGAGTGTGGAAATACGGTCCCGCTGCCAGCGATTCCAAATCTACGCAGTTATTGTTGCAGAGGTCCTCAGGGTGTCCACCCAAACTCGTCGAAATGACAAAAGGGCAGGTGGAGATGGGGGGTGGGTTGAGAGAAAATCTGTCGTCGTGTGCTTGCAAATTTTCCCAAGAATTGCAATCGAAGAAAGGCGTTCATCGTTTGTATTTTATCTATAACCCCGTGTACAAATTGTTATGCCTTTAAAATTAAGGAAACATGCAGGTTTCTCCGTCTGTAAACTGCACAGTGAATTCCCTTTGCTTAATATAAACTATCATAATTCCCAGTAGGAAGACCTCCCTGGTAGATCCCTTATTCTTGTGTCTGGCTTCAGAGAAGTTATTTCCTTGGTATTCTGAATTCTTTTCCTTGAAGGCTTTAATCCCCATCTAGACTTCCTCATTGTTAGGCATCCTTCAACCCTTAGCTCCAAAGGTGGGATTGTTTATGGGTTCCTCAAAGGTCAAAACAATTAGTTTTCAAGAAGATCCATTCAATGTTGTAATTTTTATGGGCACTTAAAAATAAAACCAGTATTAGCATTGACGGTGATTAAATTACTCACAAATCCAAAGGGGTGGAGGGGATGGATTTTTTATTTCCTTTTGAAACCTCTTAACTTAAAGATAGTTGACTTTCTAATCCTGCAACTGCTTTTACAATTAGATGCTTTCTCAGTCTTTGCTGTAGTTGTTAAAGAGGTTATTGTTAATGTTCACTCTTAAGTGAAACCTGGGCCTTCACCTAATGAGCTTCACATTTTAGCCTTCATGTTTAGATACTTTGTGGACCAAAAGAATGAGTCCATGCAACTGATTTTGTATTGCCCCACATCTTGATGAATTTTTTGACCATATGGAAAAATCTTTCTCTCGTCTGTGGCAGAACATACAAATTCTATGCTTTTTATACATTGGTATATGAAACTCCTGATAGATTATTTATAGAGCTACACCAGACTCCAGCTAGGAATTCTTTTCTAAGTAAAATAAAAATATAGTTAGAGCAGTGTGCAATGATTTAAGAATCACAGCCCCAGTCCAGGCCTGATTAGAAATGAACTTCACTACATTTGCAAACACTGGCTCCAAAAGTGTACAAAAGGAAACACGCCAGATTTACTTAGGAACCAAGCAAATTATTTCTCTAAGGAAAAACAGTATTTCTATCCAGTAATTAGGAGTTACCCTTTCATGGAACACATATAGCACTGTATTCTATATTTTGACACCCCCCCCCCAAAAGTGCTTTTTTTGAGGTAGTAAAATATTTAGTCTGCATAAATAACTAGCTGGAGTAGTTTTTCATCTTTGGAAACTTTGTAAGGTTTTACAGAAGTAAAAAAGTGTTTTAATAGCTGTTGCTGCATAGCACCTCTTGTGAAACTGAGTTTTTGTCTCCACTTTGAATGGTGTAACAAACAATTTGGCCAGAGTAGATTTCCTGGGGAAAAAAAAAAAAAAAATCCCATCCCAAATTTTCCAATTCTAAGAACTGTTTTTTTTTAAACATGCCTTGAGAGAAGTAGGTCATTAATACTGAAGGAGGACTGGTTTCTTCTTTTCAGAGATGTAAGGGATTACTTGATGCAGGGTCTGATTGCTGGGTTCTCCATCTATGTAGACAACTGTAAGCATAACACTGAGAGTTGCAAGTGTCTCTTAGTTAAATGTGAGTTTATAAACACTCTGAAGAGTACTTTCCCTCATGAAAGTACTGCAACTAATTGGAAAATAAATTGGAAGAAAACATTTTGCGGGGCGCCTGGGTGGCTCAGTGGGTTAAAGCCTCTGCCTTTCAGCTCGGGTCATGATCCCATATCCTGGGATCGAGCCCCGCATCGGGCTCTCTGCTCAGCAGAGAGTCTGTTTCCTCCTATCTCTCTCTGCCTGCTTCTCTGCCTACTTGTGATCTCTGTCTGTCAAATAAATAAATAAAATCTTTAAAAAAAAAAATTTTGCTTTTTTGTAGCGTGAAGCTCTTTTTAACAAGTTTAGAAATCATAAAATTAACGGAGTTTTATATTACTATTAACAATTTCAGTGTTTTGTAAACTATAAATCCCTTTAATTACTATTGCTATGCTTTATGCTTTTTCAACTCTTCTTCTTCTTCTTCTTTTTTAATTGCTGGTAATGCTTTTCATTGTTAAAAAATTAACACAAATACCCCTTTTAATTTCTGGGGTTTCAGTGCTCAGAAAGTGTCCTTACAGGCTTCTTAACACCTTCTAGCAATGCAGGACATTTCCTCCTGTTGAGCACCAGTAGACTAGAGATGCATTCTGAGCTAATGGCCAAGTGAACAAGAACAGGACATTAGAAATAAGACACTCCTTGAGAAAAATCTGCTTTGGGGGAAAGGAGTCCACAATGATTCCCTGTTTTCCTTAATTAACAATTATTGGGGAAAAAGACAAAAGGACATAACTGTATGGAGACAGCTTACTCATTTATCTAAAAGCATATCTTCCCATTATTTGCCAAGTACTTTTCCCATTGTCCTGAAAACTTCGTTTAGTTTGATCCTCACCACTTTAAGATTGTATATTTGGGGTCAGCAGAATGAGACAAATCGTCTGTTTGACATGTAAGAAAAACAGCATCTGGATAACTAACAGGAAGTTTCGTATTTGTCTAGAAGTTGTATAAAAGTATGGATAGAGACAACCTTACAGTCAAGGTAGTGCATTAAAATATATTGGGCTTGTATACTCTGTCCATTAAGAACTTAGAAACCTAGCTGTCCAGAACTGTATAGGACACCCTCAAAGCATATACAATGTCATATCTAGAAAAGGAGCTTAAAACTAGTACGAGTAGTGAAAGTCACATAAAAGCAGTTCACTGATAAATTTTGCCCAGACAGTGATGAGGTAGAGATAATTATCAACAAATGTAGCTGTAATAATAACCACCATAATGCCTTACATTTATGCAGCATGTAGAAGAATACAGAGTACTTTTGCATTAAAGATCTCATTTGATCCTCACAACAACCTCCTTATTCCCATGGAGAAGAGGGTAGTCTGGACAAGTTAAATGATTTACATGAGATTTACTGGAGCTAACAAGAGTTGAGCCAGGACTCAAACATAAGCCATCTCTTCTGAGTGCATTAAGTTTTTAAAGAAAAACAATTTCACATATTAGAAGAATGCTTTCCTCAGAGGCATTTATTTATCTCTGGCAGCCAATTTTATGTCACATAATTGATTGAATTTAATTCACTCAGGGAATGGGATATGACAAAAAAAATTGGCTTTCTATGCCTTTAGATTTTGAGACTTAAGAAGAACATTTTCACTGGTATCATCAAATTTTCAAATGTGAGTTGTAGGAATTGAATTCACCAATAATAATAAGCTAAATTTTATCACTCAAGATTAGAGACTCCTATGCTTATGTAATTTTAAATATGTTATTGTTATTAAAAAGCAGTTTAAAGTTTTAATCTTTAATCCCAAATAACTTTTATATGGTTACATTCTCTGTAGTTTTCTATAAAAATTCTGTATTTAGAAATTGTCATTATGAACCTCGTTGCCTGAAGCATCATTTCAGTCACTTATGGGATGTGGAACCAAGAAACTGAATTACTCACATCTTAAATTCTTTCCAAAGTCATTAAGAGAAATTCTAGTTTTTTTGTTAGACAGAAAACTAGGTGAAAAAATTATGCTTTACTATTTGGTATAGGTAATTCTTCTTAGGTTCAGCCCCTTTTCTAATATTCTTAAATTTTATTTTCTAGTTCTGTGAGAATGTGAAGATAATTATCCGTGATCAGAGAAGTGTTCTCGCTTCGGCGGTCTTGGGATTGGCATCTATATTCTGTCTGGGCTTGGCATCGTATACTACCCTTCCTGCAATTTTTATCCCATTCTTCTTATGGATGGCTGGCTAACTTCATATCCCCGTGTCAGTGTGTATTCTGTGTGTAAATATGTTTATATTTATAGAGCACAAGTCAGTATATGCATCGTCCAGAAAAATGTGACCTGTAACACTGTGTTCTGGATAAAAATGTGACTAAGAATCATGCAAAGTGCTTACTGTGTAAGCCCAAGAACAAAGGCTTTCTCAATCTTCTCAGGCAGTTCCATTTTAAAGCCCTGTGCAGATCTTGGAAACATGGCAACTTGTGATAGAATTCACCTTTCCAAGGGAACCAGCCAGTAAGATGATGGCCACAGGAGATTATTTTTTCTCCTGTAATCATGGTTCTCCATTAGGCCTGAATTTGAAGATTAGAAGACTTACTGAATGAGCCCACTAACTTCATTGTAAATTTATTCTGTTTCATTGAAAACCTTACATTAAACTAAAAGAATTTCCCTTGTTCAGATGAAAACATGTTTGATGATGGTTAAAACAAAACAAAACAAAAAACCCATAATCCTTTTTTTTTCATGCATTATATATAATTCCCAATAAGTCAAAACTATTTTCATTACTTGAAACCGTGATGGTAAAGTTGGAGTTTAATGAAAAAGTAACTTACTAGAACTATAGAAACCTATGTTTTCCTGCAGAAATAAGCTAGTATAGCATCAGTTGAACAATTTGATTTGGATTTACTTACCCAGAAGCTTGGCATTTGTTATTTTTTTTCCTTTTATGTGTCACTGTGGTGACATTAAACCACTCTGAGAGGTAAAAGGATATAGGATTGAAGTAATTTGGATACTTAGAGAGTGTATGTGCCAATTAAATATGAAAATGTCCACACATACACAGACTGATGAGAGACAAACGTTCTTGATTGCTTTATAATACAGTGTGGTTACCAGAGAGCATTTGTAGAAGTGATGTAAAAACAAGTTTAGTCTGTTTTCTTATGACCTTGCATCCACAGTATAACTTTCATATATGTCATTGGATGGTTTACCTTTTAAGGCACTTACTAATGTACTGTATAATTTTTTAAAAGTCCTCAGATTTGTCTTCTAACAGATTTATTCATTTCATTGCAAAGTATAGTTTCCATCCTTAAAAGAAGGATGCCACAAGGAAATTACTGTTAGAAGTAATTTCTGAGTGTCTTAGTGCCTCCAGGTGTGTAAATCGATTACACCGAGGCTGTCTTAATATCACGGTTGAGATGTAGCACTGTTAAAGCCAGCATTCAAATACTTTGTAGAATTACCAAATTATAAAAACTAGGCCACAAGCTAGACTCGCATTTCAAGTATTAAAATTGCTTTATAAGCTATCAAGAATCACAAGATAATGAGTCACATAATGAGTGATATGGGGAAGTTGAGTTGGTTACTCAGTGATCTAATCAGAACAAATTTAAGAGCAGATTTTAGTGTAACTGTTGTTTTACTACCACTAATTTACAACAAATTCAGTTGGAATTTAATAATAATTAAACTTTGGGGCACCTGGGTGGCTCAGTGGGTTAAGCCTCTGCCTCCAGGTCAGGTCATGATCTCAGGGTCCTGGGATCGAGTTCCACATCGGGCTCTCTGCTGGGTGGGGAGCCTGCTTCCCCCTCTCTGCCTGCCTCTCTGCCTACTTGTGATTTCTCTCTCTGTCAAATAAATTAAAAAAAAAAATTAAACTTTGTGTTTAATCACTTAAAATGTTTTAAATAGTCAAAACACGAAATGGCAACACCACAGAATAAAGGTTATCTGGGCCTATTCCAACCACTTAAATTTATCTTAAGTATGTGTACATGAAAGCAACCACTATGAGAACTCCATTGTATTAGTGGTTTTTCCCTTACTGTATATTATCTTTGTAGCAACTGTTTAAATAAATTGATTTTTTAAACATATGGTGTCCTCCTAAATAAATGCTTTTTTGCAGACTTCAGTATGTCAGGTAGCAAAAACCACTGCCTGATGTTAAATCTGTGTTCACAGATAATAATCCCTTATTAAATGCTAAGGGAAGTATTAAGGTTAGAATTAACATAATTAGTCTTACTTCATATCCTTAAAGTAAGATCCAATTCTTCATTCATTTGAGTGCTCGTTACATGCCAGGTACTGACCTGTTGTAATTTCAGGGTCTAGAATTAATATTACTTTTGAACTACCCATATCAGAGTGTATACAGTGCTCTGGGAATACAGAGGAAGAAGGATTTAAATCTCCCTGAAGGTCAGAGAAATCAGAAGTAGGCAATGCTAGCATTAGGCTGAGAAGTAGTATGAGGTGATTTTATCACACTGATGTGTTCTGCTATTTACAGGAAGAGGAAACTGGAAAGAAGCGTTTATCCAGTACTCCACAATGGTAGAATATGTTGAACTTAGGACAAAGGAGAGTTTTGTTGTGCTCAGTTTGATGAGTTGCTTAACAAGGTAGAAGAAGTACAGATCCCTGATTTGTGGTTGTGGAAGAAACTGGGCCATTCCTGTGTCTCTGATGAATGTCTCTGGGCTTCATTACTTAAGATTCATCCTTAGGATTCTGCAAGTCCCTTGCAGTTCTAAATTTCCCTTCTAACTTGTGAAATGGTAAGTAGTGTCTAAGGCAACTTTTCGGTGCTTGTTTTGTTGCCATATGTAGATGAAGGCCAAAGAACTAGCTGGGGCCAAGATGAAATAATGTCTCCAGTACTAGGCAGGTAATAGGAATGAAAAGAAGCAGACGTGGACCTCAAAGTTTAGGGCCTCATTGACATAGAAGCAGTAAGACTGCAATAGAGCTGGTTTAAAGCACAGAAAATGACCTGGTTAGTTTTAACCTATAGGGCCAAAATTATAGGGACTGTGTACTGGGACTTGGAAACATGGGATGTTTTCCAAGGGGAGAGATTTGGGTAGGACATTCTACGTTATCAGGAACAGTATGAGCGAATGCAGGAAAACTACCCGTTCCTTAGCACCCAAGTGGGAGGCACTCAACTGTTCATTGACTGAAGCATGGAACTGCATGGGGCAGTCAGGCATAGGCAAGTGGTTCACAGGCTAGCGTGGAGAAAGGCCAATGAGGAGAGGTGTTGGAAAAAGCAAAGATCAGGTGGGTACAAGTTTTGTGCGGACCAAGACGTTTGGATTTTATGAACAGGCAGTGGAGGTTTGAGTTCAGCAAGGTAACTCCCAAAAGTATAGAGGAAGGAGGGAGCATGGGGCAAGACAGGACAAAGGGCTCTCTTAGGAGACTAGTTATGGTCCCTAATCTCTCAAATCAGGGCCTGTAATTGTGAGGGTGGGGAGCAAACCTGTCAAGAAACTGTCAGCAGAGGAGCCAAATCCTTCTATTTGACTCATGAGTAACTGTTTGTGGAGTGTCAGGGAGGAGTCATTCATCCCTTCCTGCCAAAAACTCTGTTCCTGAAATAGAACTTCATGTGGTAACTGTATGTATTTTGGATATTCCAGAACTTTATTCTGCTAGTTCTGTGTCTTTGCAAGGACAAGCAAAGAAGTACAGATTTGTTTAATTTTTTTTTTCAGAATAGAGATATATTTCTTATTTTTCCATTTCTATTTCATACTATTGCTGTCAAATGTAAAATAAAGGAGTTTTCCAGTGATAACACAATTATGCCAATGGCAAAGTTTTGTGATAGATGAGAAGCATATAAGAAATGATGATTGCCAATATTGTGTTTTATATAATCTGTTTAGAGAATTTTATCTAACCTAGATCTGTTAGCTCAACTAGTTTTCTATTTGGTTTATATGTGTATGAAATAAAATCAATTTTATATGCTGTCCTCTCTTGTCTTTGAATTTGATACACATAAATGTTTTTCTGAGCATGGTAGCCTGAGAATCTTGTCTTTCAAGGCTTCCTTTACTGAACATAGTTGGCTTTACATATTTGAAATTAAAACTATGGGGATCTGCTTTCAGATTGATATGATTTATGTTATCCACATCTGGAAGCCGACCTTGATTATGTAGAAAAAGTTTCTGTGTAATATTAAATAACAATTCTCTCCATTCCACAAAGCCCAGCAGCAACAGCACAAAGAGCCATGCTCATGAACTCAGTCACCAGATATTTAACCCTACCAGTGTGGCTGCCATTTTCCTCTGGCTGAGTGGAGCAGGGGTGTGAGTAGGACGAAATCCCAGTGTCAGTCTTGAGATACATTTACTGTATTGTAAAGAACCACAGAGGTTGCTGAGCCAAACCCTTCAACATCTAACCACATTTCAGACATGGAAAATCAGGCATAGAAGTCGAGATACTTTGCGATTACACAAATAACCAGAGGCAGATCCACAATTTGACTCCAGCTTTCTTTCCTCTATATGACCTTGGATTCCTGAGGTCTCCCATAAATTCGACAAGCTTTCGTCCAATGAATGTATTAATTTCTTGCAGACCTTTTGTCTACTCCAAGCAGGGCCACAAAAGAATGAACTAGTTGGAATCTTAGTCCTATAGTTGCTCAGTCTCACGAGAAAGATTGGCAAGTAAACAGATTTCAGAACAATAAGTTTGTGCAAGTATCAGAAGGGCAGAGGCAAAACGTATACCTGTCTGCTGGGGGCAAGTAAAGGAGAGAGATGGTGAAACAAGTTTTCAATATCTTCATTGAGTTGTAAAGAGTACAAACATTCTAAGTGAAAGAGATCTCCTTTCTCCAGGCCATTACAGGCACCTGGAGAAGTACACGGAAAGGCACGGAGTCATGAGAAAACAAAGCACAGTTGGATTACTGCTAGTCCCAAAGAACAATTACCTGTGTTTACATTGTTGTCTGAGAGCAATGTACCCATACTCTTAGGCCATTCCTTTGAGGAGGACAACTCTAGACTCAGGTGCTGTTAGAGACAAGAGGCAAGATCATGGAGAACTTGACACTATGAAAGTCTGAAGTGGAAAGAAAGCATTTCCTAAACTTTCCAAATACCTCAGGTGAGCCTTATGAGCTTCCTGTTTTGTCAAACACATGATCGGATGGGATATGGTTGTTAGGAAAAGAAATGTAAAGTTTATGGATGGAAATTTATTTAACTTATTCAAGGAGAAATGGGAGCTATAGGAATCAAAGGATGAATGGGCACATCTCCCCAATCTGCTCACACCTGCTCCCACGATCCAACAACAACCCTGGGGCCATCCTCCTCTTGATTCTAGATTCTGTCCCAGATACTTCATTCCACTGAGCTTGTAACTGCTACTCTTATTGCCACCCACCTACTGTTCCTAACCCTCAGAGTATCATCGTTTCTGCTGCCTCACGGTTTTCTACAACTTGATTTTGTGTTTCTTCTACTTCTCCACTCTCTGGGCCTCTGTCTCTCATTTAAAATTTCCAAAGGATCTAATTAAGCTGACCAGTCATTATGCAATATTGGTGGTCATGAGCAAAGTTCTCTGCCAGGCTACCTCATGGCCAGTTGTTCTTTCCATATCCTTTAGGTCTGTTCCCTTCAGGTGACATCCTTGGG